TGAATGTTCTTAGGAGCCATATATAAAGATGGAAATAACAGCTTCAGTGTTCCTTTGACTAGGGGTGATGGTCAAGACCTTACCTTTTTCTCTCTCTAAAATGTCAAGTACACAAACGCCAATGACTGAGATGTAGAAAGATGCCACGGAAGAGCCATGGCTGGGGAGGGAACAGGTGGTCTGGAGAGAAAAGTCTGGGGAGGAATGAAGGAATAGAAAAGAAATAGAAATAAGAACCACATTTTTTAGTTAAAGTTTCAGAAAGAATTAGGAATTCATTTTTTTTTTTTTTTTTGAGCTGGAGTCTCACTGTGTTGCCCACACTGGAGTGCAGTGGCCGCTTCTGGCCACTGCAGCCTCGACCTGCTGGGCTCCGGCAATCCTTCCGCTTCAGCCTTCCTAGTAGCTGAAACTACAACTGCATGCTACCATGCCCAGCTAATTTTTAATTTATGTAGAGATGAGGTCTCACCAAGTTGTCCAGGCAGGTCTTGAACCCTTGGGTTCAGGCAATCCACTCACCTCAGCCTCCCAAGGTGCGGGATTACAGGCTGAGCCACTGAGCCCGGCCAGGAATTCATTTCTTAATCACAAAATGGCACAGGAAAGAAAACTGTGTCGACATATGTGGGATTATCTTAACATATATGGGGAAGAAAGGCATATAACCTTCTTTGCACATGTAACCGACACTCGGTAATCCGATCACCCAAGTAGGGTTAGAAAAATCTCTTAGAAATCAGCTACCCTGGTATTTGAAATTGTGTTAAAATGTTACATCAACCGGGCTCGGTGGCTCAGCCTATAATCCCGCGCCTTTGGGAGGCTGAGGTGAGTGGATTGCCTGAGACTGCGGGTTCAAGACCCGCCTGGGCAACTTGGCAAGACCTCATCTCTACAATAAATAAAAAATCAGCTGGGCATGGTAGCTCACGCCTGTAGTTCCAGCTACTCGGAAGGCCGAGGTGGAAGGATCGCCGGAGCCCAGCAGGTCGAGGTTGTGGTGGCCGGGAGCGGCCACTGCACTCCAGTCTGGGCGACAGAGTGAGACTCCACCTCAAAAAAAAAAAAAAAAAAGTTAAATCATCATTTCTGTAAAGTCTTTTAAAGTAGCTTATATATATATCAATAATCTTCCATAAAATGTTGCTGTTTATACATCCTAAAAATAAAATCTAAACCTGAGATGTGAGGATTATGTATCTATATGGCATACAGATAAAATGTACCACTTATGGGAGAAGTTAATTAAACTGAGGGAGATTCAATAAATCGAAATGTACAATGTCAGAAACCATGCTACCGTATAAATGAAAAGTGACTTCGTAGCTTTATCTGAAATGATTAGACTGGTTTTTTTTTCCCAAAAATTATCCTTGCTTAGAAAAAGTCAACTAAGAAGAAAATGTATCTTCAGGTCCAAGTTTATCATAGTAGGCTGTTAATGAGCAGCTCTTTTCTCAATTTAAAATTTTGCATTTGAAAAATGGAGGATGAGCCAGGTGCAGTGGCTCACATCTATAATCCCAGCACTTTGGAAGGCTGAGGCAGGAGGACCACTTGAGCCCAGAAGTTTGAGACCAGCCTGGGCAACATAGTGAGGCCTTGTTTCTACAAAAAAAAAAAAAAAATTATCTGGATGTGGTCTCACACCTGTAGTCCCAACTGCTCAGGAAGTAGAGGCCGAAGGATCATCTAAGCCCGGGAGATGGAGGCTGTGGTGAGCTGTGGTGCCAATGCAGTCCAGTCTGGGTGACAGATTAAAACCTCAATTAAAAGAAAAAAATCCAATTTCATTCAAAATAATAATTGCTGGAATCACCATTAATTTTTTTCTAATTAAGTTTCTGCTGTAGTGAATTGGTTAATCTGATTATTTTTGTGAAAGACTTTAGGAAAAACATAGTATAAGTGGTAGCCACTCTCAACCAGCAAATCCAGAGTAGACTGCAATGGTGAGGATTACAGTCTCCATTTATTAATTGATTACTATGTGCCAGGCACTATCGTATGAGTTTTTAAAAATATACTCTCAAATCTAATCCTCATAATAACCCCGTGTGGCAGGTAGTATCTACTAGTCCCATTTTATAGTTGATGAAATATGGCACAAATTTAGAGTCTAAGACTGGGGTCAGCAGACTGTGGCCTCTGGGTCAAAAGGGGCCCTAAAAGCTTACTGGAAGGCTCAGACCCCTTAATTTACTGCAGCTGTGTTAGAGCTTTCCGTGGTCAAACTGAGCAGCTGAGATGGAGACCTTAGGGACCAAAAGACCTAAACCACGTACTACCTGAAATTGTATAGAAAAAGCTCACCAGCCCCTAGTATAAAACATGATTAATTCACGAACAAAGAAAAAGGAACATTTGGCCAGCTTTATAGAATATATACTGAAACTTTCTTAGAAAAAAAAATTCTGTCTTTATTTGTTTTCTTTCCTTCACAGCTTACCTTATTTCTTCTCACCCAAGGTTTATCAGGGGGAAAAAAGTGTTTATGGAATGCCAGTTCAGGAACTAACAAAAGGTTTCTCTCTCAGTAAGGTGAGTTGAGAGAGAGAGAGAGAGAGAGAGAGAGAGAAAGAAAGAAAGAGAGAACCAAAAAAAGCTCTAACAACCATACATTTCCTTAGAGGGTGTAGAGAGAGAGAGAGAGAAAGAAAGAGAACCAAAAAAAGCTTTAACAACCATACATTTCCTTAGAGGGTGTAAAATTGTTGACTGTTTCGTGGGTATTTCTTCTCAAGTACAGATGACATCATCGTTGAAATTGTTTAGAAATTGGCCTACTTTATTCCACATTTGGTACCACATATTGTCTTGGTTGACCATTAATTAACTTTTCTATTTTTACTGGGAAGGTATGTCGTAACTATTTTAGTAGACAGTGTCTGGTTCTGTTATTTGTGGAACTCAACACACAATTATGCTTTCAAAATTTTTTTTCCCCCAAAGCTGTAAGAATATATGTATTTGGTGGAGAAAGTGCTCATCTGCAAATAATCGACTCCAAAATGCATTTTCGATTAAACACCTAAAACAGGAAATAGGTACTAACAAATGAAAGAATTTGGTATATCACCAGGCAGCAAAGCAAATGTAACCTTAACATGTATATACATTTGTCCTTTAAATATTAATAGCTTTAGCCATTGTTTTTGAGAAAGTGTTAAACGTCAGGGCTCCTTTGGTAAATCTTACTTTATCCTTCAAAATCTACTTATAGGCTGGGCACAGTGGCTCATGCCTATAATCCCAGCACCTTGGGAGGCCAAAATGGGAGAACTGCCTGAGCCCAGGAGTTCGAGACCAACCTGGGCAACACAGCAAGACCTTATCTCTACAAAAAAATTAAAAGCTGGGGGTGGTGATGTGCACCTGTAGTCCCAGCTACTTGGGAGGCTGAGGTAGGAGGATTACCTAAGCCCAGGAGTTCAAGGCTGCAGTGAGCCATGATTGTGCTGAGACTCAGCTTCAAGAAAACAAACAAATAAACCCAAAACCTACCCATAAATCAAAATAAAATTAAAAAATGAATTTCTTTTTTTTTTTTTGAGTTGGAGTCTCACTCTGTCGCCCAGACTGGAGTGCAGTGGCTGCTCCCAGCCACCGCAGCCTCGACCTGCTGGGCTCCGGCGATCCTTCCGCCTCAGCCTTCTGAGTAGCCGGAATTACAGGCGCGCGCTACCACACCCGGCTACTTTTTTGATTTATTGTAGAGATGAGGTCTCACTGCCCAGGCGGGTCTCGAACACGCGGGCTCAGGCAATCCACTCACCTCAGCCTCCCAAAGGCACAGGATTACAGGCTGAGCCACCGAGCCGGCTAAAAAATGAATTTCTAAAGGATGCAACCTGGCACATAAAAGAATTTTGGCAAGTAGTTTACCATTATAATAACAACATGCAAAAATAATCTATGCAAATTGCTTACTTTAACAGTGAACAGAAAGAAAACACCAAGACAAGACAAAGTCATGATTTTTTTTTTCTATCCTTCACTCTCTTTCCCAGACACCAACTGATGAAGGGGACAGCAGAGAACAGGGACTCTAAGATTGTTTGTACTTTAGAATCACCTGGGGATTTGAACAATTCCACCACCCAAGACACAGCCCAGGTCAATGAACTCACAGTTGCTGAGGGTGGGACCCGGGTATCAATAAGCTCCCAGACAGCAGTAGGGAGTGGTGATTAGGGTAAGACAGCTGATGGGTCAGTCAGATCCTCATCAGCTCCACTCTGTAGGAGGCACTCTGAGATCTTGGGTGTAGGATTTATTAACTGTGTACTGGTATCACCACTCTTGCTCCTCACCCATAATCCATCTGTTAGTGCAAATATTGAAAGCATTTTAACCCAGTGAGTAAAACCCTGGGGTTTCTCTTAAGTTATGATCTCATCTTTTATTTTTTATTTTTTTGAGTTGGAGTCTTACTCTGTCGCCCAGCCTGGAGTGCATGGGCACACTCACAGCCACTATAGTCTGAACCTGCTGGGCTCAGGTGATCTTTCTGCCTCAGTCTTCCAAGAAGCTGGAATCCCAGGTGTGTGCCACCGCATCTGGCTAATTTTTTGGTTTATTGTAGAGACGAGGTCGTGCCAAGCTGCCCAGGCTGGTCTTGAACCCGTGGGCGTAGGCAATCCTCTTGCCTCTGCCTCCCAAAGTGCTAGGATTACAGGCATGAGCCACTGTACCCAGCTAAGTTAGGATCTCTCTCTTTAAACACTCACACCCTGTCTGTATCTTAGGAGATATCCCCAACACCTAGTGTGGTTTTTCTCTCTTTTGCAACCATATTTCTCCTGTATGACAAACAGTAAAAGCAAAGCCTAGACCGGGTGCAGTGGCTCACGCCTGTAACCCTAGCACTTTGGGAGACCAGGGTGGGAGGACTGCTTGAACCCAGAAGTTTGAGACCAGCCTGGGCAACATAGCGAGATCCATGTCTACTTGAATCAAAACAATATACATTAAAAATAAAGCAAAGTCTGCCTTACCTCTACGATGCTTTTTAAATCTTGCACATAAGTCCTTTCGGTCTCCAGAATTTCCTGAACAACTCTATCCACATAGAGGAGCTTGGGGCTGTTGGCCGAGTCTGCGGCCATCTTGGGTGCTCCGTTGACATCCACTCTCCGCTGGGCCCTGGGCTGCCTTTCGCTACCCTGGTCCGCGTCCTGTGGCCCGGTGGGGTTGGCCCTCGACAGCTCGCTGCTGGAGAACGGCCGGGCTGGAATCAGCTCCAGTTTTATTGCTCCTACTTCCCTATCCTGGTGAAACAAGCCCAAGTGGCTATTTGAAACTAAGGTCATTCTGCTGCCGAAGGAGCCATGGCTGTCCCGGGAGGAGGCTGAGGATGACGTGGAGCCAAAGCTGATGGGTCGGTCGCTGTCAGAGAGTTCCATGGTCTTCAGCTTTTGGGGGCGGGAATGCGTCTTGGGCCCTGGGACTTCGGTTACAGCTGATGGCACTTCCAGGAGCAACTGGCGCCCATCTGCATGCGTTAAAGAAAATAAGTGAAGACAAGATAAGCAAGGCACACAGAGTCTGGAAATTCTATCACACAGAAGGTTGAAAGGAGGTAAAAACCTAGCCCACGTGCATATAGTCAATAGCAAACAGGTGGCCAGTTACAGAAGCAAATGCTATATAGAGTTTGTAAAGCATCACCTGGGAGCCTGTGAGAAATGCAGAGTCTCAGGCTCTGCCCATCTGCTGAACTCGAATCTGCATTTTAGTAAGCTCCCAGCGCAGTTACACATATTAGAGTTTGAGAAGCAATACCTCTGTTGTCTCCAAAGTGTGGCCACCTGGAATGACTTATATATGCAGATTGGTCCAGACTTTCTAAATTAAAGGTTCAGCGGTCAGGGCATGAGGCATCTGTAACATTTACCAGCACCGCAAGTGGTTTTTATGTATGTAAAAAGGGCCCTACGTGATTCTTACGGAATTTTGAGAAACACTGTCCTATATCTTTAAGTGTGCCGCCATAATTTCACAATATTTTAGGCTAGCGCTCTGGAACCACCGCCACTTGATTTCCCTGATGCTGACAAGTTTACATTGGAATTGTTTACAACATTAAAGAAAGTGTTGCAAAAGGACACTAAGTTTCTGATACTGGGCAAGAGAAACTAGGCTACAGTCAAGTATTGCATAATGATATTTAAAAGGTCAACGACAGACAGCACATACAACAGTAGTCAGAAAAATGGGTTATACCATCTAGCCTAGGTATGTAATGGACTCTACAGCCTGGGACTGTGTGGGTACACTCCATTGTGTACACACAATACCAAAATCATCTATTGAAGCATATCTCAGAACGCCCACCCCTTGGTAAGCAACACATAACTGTATTAAGACCCACACCCCATTTAATACTTACCTTCTCTCAGCACAATATTTCTCTAAATCTCTTCCAAAAAATTGACATCCCTTTTGTGGCATATATGGCGTTATACTAGAGAGTATATTTGACTAGCTATAATACTCCCTAAGTAAACTTATAAAATGACAGTGTAAGTGTAATTATACAAATAAATGATATAGGAATTATGAGAAAAATTATAATAAATGGGGCTGTTTGTGTTTAGAAGAGGGTATGAGGAGAGACTACAGGAACTGCAAAGTCCAAAGGTCACTTAATAGCATAGCATTGAAATATGATCTTGGATCCAAAAAGGACCTCCATGAAAATGAAGCTTTCAGAAGTGATTTTGGTGAAACACTCAATGTTCCAATCTTTTTCATTTGTAAGGCAGGATTAACACTTTCCCCCCATAATAATGAGATTCTAGGTTTATAGAAACAAAATATTCATGATAAAGAAAGTGATAAAAAAAAAGAAATTTGCTCCATTTTGGCAGACTACCATACCAACAATATCTAATCTATGCTTCCAGGTTTTGTTAGAAAAATAGAAGAGTGAAACTTATGTTTGAAAGGTTATGATATGACAAACCCAGTAATGAGAACACAGGTTTTTTGGTTGGGCTTTCTTTTTGAGTTAGAGCCTCACTTTCTTCCAGGCTGGAGTGCAGTGGCAGACTCACGGCCACCGCAGTCTTGATCTGCTGGGCTCAAGCAGTCCTTCCACCTCAACCTTCCAAGTACCTGAAACCACAGGTACACATTACCGTACTTGGCTATTTTTATTATTTATTATTTTTATTATTTATTTATTTATTTATTTATTTTTGAGTTGGAATCTCGCTCTGTCGCCCAGACTGGAGTGCGGTGGCCGCTCCCAGCCACTGCAGCCTCGCCTGCTGGGCTCCAGCGATCCTTCCGCCTCAGCCTTCCGAGTAGCCGGAATTACAGGCATGCGCTACCATGCCTGGCTGATTTTTTGATTTATTGTACAGATGAAGTCTCGCTGCCCAGGCGGGTCTCGAACCTGCGGGCTCAGGCAATCCACTCACTTCAGCCTCCCAAAGGCGCGGGATTACAGACTGAGCCACTGAGCCCGGCTCAATTTTTTGATTTATTGTAGAGGTCTCAGCCTCCCAAAGTGCTGGGATTACAAGCATGAGCCACTGTGCCCAGCAAGAACATAAATTAACAGTCATTTTATAATAGGAATATGGGCCAGGCTTGGTGGCTCAGTCTGTAATCCCAGCACTTTGGGAGGGCGAGGCGAGTGGATTGCCAGAGCCCGCAGGTTTGTGACCAGCCTGGGCAACTTAGTGAGACCTAGTCTCTACAATAAATTAAAAAAAAAAAATTAGCCGGCCATGGTAGTGAGCGCCTATAGTTCTGGCTACGTGATAGATTGAGGCAGAAGGATCGCCAGAGCCCAGCAGGTTGATGCTGGGGTGACCGTGAGTGTGCCATTGCACTCCAGCCTGGGCGACGGAGTGAGACTCTAACTCAAAAAAAAAAAAAAAAAAGAGAATATGAATTTGGTTTGACGCCACAATAAAGATCATCAAACAGCTGTTACCGATATGTTTAGAATACGTAGTATGATGAATTCATCAAATCTGTATCTTTCAACATACTGACTTTTTCTAGATAGTTTACACTCATGGCAAATATTGGTACAAATTTATAACGCAAATGTTACAATTATGAATATAAAATAAAGGAACTCTGAGTCAACAAGAAGGAATGGTAAAAAATGGTAGGAAATGAGCAATTTATCAGCATAACCACTACCACATGGTATGAGTTGGCCACACATTTTTAAAGCTTTTGCAATATTCTTTCTGCTTGCTCTATAACAACTTTACGGCCTATAAAACATGAATTGGTTATAGTAGTTAAAATGCACTTGACCTAGAAAGCCTGATCCAACTTGAGTGTGGCAAAAATCCAAGAAGCAGTGATGCTTTTAGGTAAACTTGCAGCAAAGGGCACTTGTTCGTGTCTGGAATTGGTGTTTAGAGAGATATGGGCAGTTCAAAGTAGGGGCAGACACAACAAAGTTTTATTTCCATTGGCATCCACCATAGTTATGACCACGAGACTGATCTCACTGTGGGGAATGGGCACTAACTTGGAAGTATACGACAAGGTCCCAAAGGTCCAATGAAGCTATGATTTGGGACTAAACATAAGTTGGATATACTCTACATAAAAGGCCAGGACATCTGGAAATGTTCCCCCTCCTCCCCCCACTGATCTGGATACACTTGTCTCCAGGGCAAATTCTGATTTTCTAACTAAACAGGAATCAGTCTTTTCTCCAGTACAGAAAGTTGTCTTTGCCAAAGCACAGCGGCTCATACCTGCAATCCAAGCATTTAGGGAAGACAGTGTGAGAGGACTGCTTGAGCTCAGGAGTTCGAGACCAGCCTAGGCAACATAGTGATTCCCTGTCTACAGAACTCAAAAAATTAGCCGGGTATGGTGGTGTGTGCCCAACTACTTGGAAGGCTGAGGTGGAAGGATCACCTGAGTGCAGAAGGTCAAGGCTGTGGTGAGCCATGATCATGCCACTGCCCTCCAGCCTGGGTAACAGAATGAGATCCCAACTCAAAAAATAAAAATAAAATTTAGGCCGGGCTCGGTGGCTCAGTCTGTAATCCCAGCACTTTAGAAGGCCGAGGTGAGTGAACTGCCTGAGCCTGCAGGTTTGAGATTCACCTGGGCAACTTGCGGAGACCTCCTCTCCACAATAAAAAGCAAAAACTAGCTGGGTGTGGTAGCGCACTGTAGTTCCGGCTACTTGGAAGGCTGAGGCGGAAGGATCGCTGGAGCCCAGCAGGTTGAGGCTGCGGTGGCTGGGAGCATGCCACTGCACTCTAGTCTGGGTGACAGAGTGAGACTCCAACTCAAAAAATAAATAAATAAAATTGAAATTAATAAAAATAAAAAACTGTCTTTAACACAGTTACATGACTCTTGGCACTGTATTCATGATCAGGACTAGAAAATTATGAACACAATAGAGAGACACATTTTTTTCTTATCTTTTCTTTTCTCTACTTACTTTCATTCAAGATAGCCAGTATTGGGACAGAGGGATTAAAGAAGAATACACATTGTTTTTAGAGGAGTCCATGTTGGGCTGCTAGGGATGAGAATGCCTTAAAAAATAGAGGTGGAAAAAAGTGGGACGTGAAACTCAGGTTTAAATAGCAACATGAATTGTGTACTGTTCCAAGGAAGACTTCACATGTACCACCCCAGGCCACGTACTCAAGGCCACTGGGACAAGCCTGTTCCTCAGGCTGACATCCAGGCACTTTAGAACCTAGAAGAGTTCAGATGTCTGGGATCTGTAGTATTTAGCCAAGCTTAATGCCCCAAACTAAATACCTTCCAAAATTACCCATGACAGAAGTGAAACACTTAAAGTCAGGTCATATCATGGCCTGTAACGTGAGACCACACTTGCTAATGGGTAACATTTTTAACGTTGATTCATTGCTTAGAAGATAATTATAGTTTTCTCACATAAGGAAATGTACCTCATAAAAACTGTCTAGTCTTGTTCTCACCTTCCTCAAAAATAATTTAAGATTTCCACACTGTATGGACTACTTTTTCGAATACAACGCATCAATTATTAATATTTATCTGTAGAGTTGTGCTGCTTGACACGGTAGCCACCAGCCACATGTGGATACTGAGAACTTGAAATGTGGCCAATCTGAGTCGAGATGTGTTGTAAGTCCAAAACACACCCTGGGTATCAATGACAGTATGAAATAGAAACATTTTTTAAAGCTCGTTAGTAATTTTTATATTAACTACACATTGAAACAATAATCTGAAGTAGTGAGTTAAATACAATATCTGACAAGTTATTTTCACTGGTTCATTTTACTTTTTTAATGTGTCTGCTAGAAAATTAAAATTACATTTGTAGCTCATATATACTTTAGTTGGACAATGCTGATCTAGAAGTCTTGCAGATAATTACATTATTCTTGAAGGTTTAAATGTACCTCCTTATCAATCTTTGCTTGAATAATGGTGAATGAAGAGATGCATGCAACTCAAAGCTTGTCTTTTATTAAAACTCTATTCATTAATATATAA